GGTGGCGGGGCGGGGGCGGGGCGGGGCGGCGAATGGGCGGGGGGGGGGCGGGGGGGGGGGGAGGGGGCGGCGCCAAGGGGGGAGGGGGGGAGGGGTTTGGGTGGGGCGGGGGGTTCGCCGATCAGCGATCGCGCGCCGCCCAGCCCAGAGGAGGCAGCATGAGTTGACCACGCGCACAACCCCGTGGCACAGAGACCCAGCGCGGCGATGCGCACGCGGACAACCCCCCGACGACCGAGCGCCAGCAAGGATGTGCACGCGCACAACCCCGCGGCAAGAAAACGCCACAGGGCTATGCAAAAGATGCCGAAAATATATCAAAAAGTATTCGCGGGTGACGCACATGCAGCTCGAAGTTGCGATTGGCCGCCGCAGGGCTGTGCACGCGCACATCGGGCGCGCGGAGTGGTCGTCCCCAAAGTACTCCACAGGTTGTCAAAAAGTTCCCCCCGCGTCCCCGCCGCCTTGTCCACGCGCCCCCAAGTACCCCGCACGGACCCCCAACGTGGCCCCCCAAGCACACCCGAAGTTGTCAAAAAGTTCCCCCCGCCCCCCCCCCCCCTCCTCCCGTGCACCTCGAGTGGCCCCCACGCGCCCCCGACGCAACTCCCCAAGCAGCACCCGCCAAGTTGCCAAAAAGTTGCCCCATGCGCCCCCCCCCCCCCCCCCCCCCCCGCGCGCCTCTCAAGTGCACCCTGGTCTCCCGAAAGTTGCCCCCAAGTTGTCAAAAAGTTGCCCCCGCGCCCCCGCCCGCACTCCACAATTCCAATTTGAGCGACCCCAACGTTGTCCCCAAGTTGTCAAAAAGTTGTCCCCGCATCCCGCCCGCATTCTACAACGACCCCCCGAGCGCCCCGAGAGTTGCCCCCAAGTTGTCAAAAAGTTCTCCCCGCGCCCCCGCCCGCACTCTAAAAGGGCACCCCGAATGTCCCCAAAGTTGCCCACACAGTGCCAAAAAAGTTGCCCCGCCCCCCTTCCCCCCCTTCCCCCCCCCCCCCCCCCCCCCCCCCCCCGCGCACAATCTCAAGCGCACCCCAGACACCCAAAGTTGCCCCCCAGTTGTCAAAAAGTTGCCCCCGCGCCCCCGCCCGTGCTCCAATGACCCACCCCCCCCCCTGTGCCCCCACAGTTGCCCCCAGGCTGTCAAAAAGTTGCCCCCGCCTCTCCCCCCCCCCCCCGCGTGCACCTTCAGGTACCTGATGACATGCTCTACAGAAAACGGCCAGGAACTTTGCAAGCCCCCCCCCCCCCCCCCCGGGTTTGCCCACCGCAGCTTTTGCGCGTTGACGTCGCGCCCCATGCGCGACGCCTTATAGCATCACGCGCGCGCATGTCGGGCAGCCACTTTTATCTCGCCACTGCAGGGGCGAATTTCGCAGGGACCGCCTACCAAAATAGGAATGGACTGGGCCGTTGCGCAGGGCGCAGCCCCCGCCGTCAGCCCCAAGGGCGTATAATAGAACGCGCGCTCGCGAGTGCGCGCGCGCGTAGTGAGCGCGCGCGTGGAAGTTACGCGGGGGCGCTCGGCGACATGCAAGTCTCTGTGGCCCATGGGCGGGTCGCCCAGCGCCCCCCGCCCCCCACTCCCCACCACCCCCCGCCCGTTGCCCCCTTGACGCATGCCCCCCTCCCCCCCCCCCCTTCCCGCAACCACCACCACCACCACCACCACCACCGCCTCCTCCCCACCTTCCCGCCCCCCCCCCCCCCCCCCCCTCACACACACACCCCCCACCCACCACCCAACCCCCCCAACCCCCCCCCCCCCCAACCCCTCCCCCCCCCCCCCCCCCCCACCTCCCCCCCCCCCCCACCACCACCACCACCACCACACAACCACCACTCACCACCACCACCACCACCCACCACCACCACCACCACCACCACCACCACCACCACCACACCACCAACCACACACCACACACACACACACACACACACACACACACACACACACACACACACACACACACGCACACACACACAAAAAGAAAACACACACTCACACACACACACACACACACACACACACACACACACACACACACACACACACACACACACACACACACCACCGTCTCCGCACACCCCCTTCCAGTTTCCAGCCCTCCCCCCACCGCCACCACCACCGACCCCCACGCAGGCCCCCCTTCGTCCCCCCCCCACACACACACACACACACAAACACAAAACACAAACACACACACACACAACACACACACACACACACACACACTACCCCCACCCACCCCCCACCCCACCCACCCTCCCCCCACCCACCTTCCCTTCTTAAGTTAAAGAAGAAGAAGCTGCATGGTAAAGGGTAAGGGGAATTAGTGTCTCAGCACAAGGTGAGCCGAGAGCCATTCGCCTTCAGTCTGCAGTGTGACCTTTAAATCGAACCCCGATACCAGATCTCTGAAGCTTTAACACACAGGCGCCGCCGACGCGCAACATATCTTATGCCAGGTGCTGAAGGCCTCACATACACAATAGTAAGACTCTAGCTACTGGGCCCAGTGACCCAGCGCGCGTCGCCGATCGTTCCCGCCCGAGAACCCAAGTTTGAAAAGGGGCCGCGTTCTGCGTTCGAGATGTGGGCCCGCGGGTGTTCTGTGCCCTGGGATCATGCCATGTTGGACATCACAGAGGGCTCTCGCCCGTCAACCCGCCTGACACAGTGGTTTCCTTTTGGTTTTGTAGGATCTGCCCAGTAGGCTGGAGTTCGACTTCTAAAGGAACCTCGCTCTACAGATCTTACCGGTGGGCCCCCTGTGAGGGTTTGTGGGGCTCCATGTTGTTGCCTTTCTGGGCTCCACCTCGGTATCCAGCAGTCAAGGCGCCTCCTCCCTGGGTGCCCCCCTCCAGGGCTATTGTAGGAGTTGCTTGGTAGGCGGGTGCTCGGCTTTGAAAATGGTCAGTGGGTTGCATCCCATTATGGACCCCCGCGGGGTGCCCGTCCTCCGCGGGGGCTCGGTTTTGCAAAGGGGCCGCGCTTGCTTCTAGGAGCGCATCAAGGCGAGAGCTCGGTTTTGAAATGGAGTTGCGCCCAGAGACCAATGCAGGATGTTCCTTCCAGGAGGCGAGAGCCGCGCATGCACCAGGCGTGCACCATCGCGTGCGCTTGTCCTTCCCACGAGCTTGCTGCAACGAGTTCCTTCTCCCTGTTCGCCACTCTTGCGGCCGTCGCGCATCGACGTGCCATCTCCTGTGGCCCCAGGCCGCGTTCCGAGCATCGTGCTTTTTCTTTTCCATACCACAGCGTACGATGAACGGTGCCACTCCGCCCCCGCTACCCACTGCAGATGATGAAGGGCCGCGGCGAGGTGCGGACAGCCGCGGGCCAGACCCCATCCCGAAGCAGGATGGCCCGAAGCGGCTTGACAGTCACTTTGGCATTGATGAAGTGAGTTCGGTTTCCAGAGATACTGGCCCTGTCATTCCCGACTTGGCCGAGGATACCCTACGCCCCTCGCATTCCGCCTCCCCGAAAGGGGTGGCCAAGCGGCCAATTCATTTGGAGGGGGACTTCTACGGCATTGGCATTCCGCCTTCGCGCAAGCTCTAATACATTGGCTCCCCGAAGAAGCCCTGCACCCAGACGGGCATCTCGCCCCGGCTGCCGTACTCGATAGATTGCGGACCACCTTCCTGCGCTTGGGGTATTCCATATTCTGGGCCCTTGGATGTTGTGGATCACCTCCTGGGCCAGTACCAGTGCCAGTACCAGCGTACTCCAGGTACCGTACCAAGCATGCTGCCACGTACTACGTGACCTCTACGATGGAGGAGGACTGGATCAATCCTGGTGACACCGACGACGAGTGCGAGCTGCACGATGGGTCTCATCAGGCAGCATCGGCACAAGGTTCTAGATTGGATTGAGGTGCTACAGTGGTGTTTGGGGCTACACGCGTGAGCTACAGTGGTGGTTGGTGCTACAGTGGTGCATGGGGCTACACGTGCGAGATGAGTGCGAATGCACTTGCAGGTTGATCTGAGACGCGATGCCCAATCTCATCGAGATGATGCTTGTCAGGCCAGGTACATCTGCATACATATCCACTTGCTGAATGTCAAACTTCGATTTCTCATGGACGTGCCGCAGTTGGTGGCAGGCGCATTGCCCAGCAAAACGGTCGGGATCCCTTTCCAGACACATCCGCATGAGGATCCTGGTCCTGGACAGCCCCACTCTCCCACTACTAGGATGTAGGACCACCTGGGCGGTGATGAGGAGGTTGGGCGCTGGGGTAGAGCATGGTCGAAGCTCATATCTTCCCGCCTAAGCTCGAGCCTGCTGTTGCGCGAAAGGCCGTAAGGTGTGGCACTTCTTGCTTAGAGTGCATTGTTGTAGATGGTTTCTAGCGTCCTTACTTTGGGCGGTCTGGGGGCTCAGTTGGGGTCTTCTCGGGCAGCAGTTGGGTGGGGGGCCTGCATCATGTAGCTATTGGGTTGCATGGGGCCTCCTGGGGTCGTCACGTGGCTCCTTAGTGCCCCCGTGGCCCGCGCTGGTGGCTCATCGGTCGTCTTGGGGGGGAAGGGGCTGTTCTCTAGGCTCATTGTTGGTTGCATATGGGTTTGCCGTTAGGTTTCAATTCGCAAAGCATCATCACTATGTGTCAGCACAGCGTCATCGTAGTATCAGTACAGCATCAACACCATATTAGCACAGCACCATCACAACATCAGCTCAGCATCCGCATCACGCATCGAGGGGGGGATCATCGACACGCTCACCATCCCCTAGCGTGGGCGAGCAATTCATCAACACAGGCATCATCTCGTATACGATATGCGGAGGGATGGCGGGGCATCATCGCCAGCGTCTCAACATCATCACCGTCATAGTTAGTAGCAGCAACCGTTCTCTCCTGGTAGAGGGACATGGATCACGCACCATCGCGTTATAGTTGCGGCTCCATTGGTCAAGTCGCACAGCCACTTTGATTCGATATATACGTTCACTTGCCATGCGTCGGGTCAGCCGCTAGCCCGCGATGCCTGAGAAGGCGAGCAGGAAGGACAAGGATTCTAGCATGGGGCCACCGCCTAAGAAGAGCAGGGGCGCAGCGACTCTCACCTTTCCCAGCGGAGGTGCTTCTAGTTCCGTTCGGGCGTGCTTGCTGCGCCGCAAGAGCGACCAGGACGTGGAGTGGATCAAGACGCCTGGCGCACCAGATATCGCATGTGTCGTCTGCTTCTCAGGTTTTGCCCCAGCGAGGTTCTTCTGCAACTGGAAGGACTTCGCGAAGGCGCACCATGCAGGAGGCCCGCACAAGGACAGCGTGGACGCGGCCATTAGGCTTTACCCGAACAAGGAGGCAGCATCGCAACTGATGGCACCAGTTGAAATTGCGGACGGCACGAGCACGATGATTGAGATTTACCGCGAGGGCATGTGGCTTCCAGCGACTAGCACCAGGAAGGAGACGCACAACAGCACCCCGAAGCAGCTGAAGATCGGAGACCCCCTCTCGCTCAAATTCTTGGACGGCCAAGAGTTGAAGGTGTACATCTTTAGTGACAAGTCTGGGCCCGCTGGGGCCATGAGGGTGAGGGTTGGCGTGCAGGCGAGAGTTGACTCGAGGAGGACCACTATGCCCGCGCCTGGCCAAGTTGTCCCAGGCCTCGGGAACATGGCGATACAGAACGCGAGGGAGAACGACACGTCGGGGGCACACGATGATGGTTTCCACGCCCTCTTGCAGGCTGGCGCCGCGCAGTGGTCAGAGGTTCTCGCGAGGGGCGACAGGGCACACAAGGGCCGGCTTGCACGCCGCACGGGCGGGAAGGGTGACGAGGGCGGCGACTATATCCTCTCCGAGGACGAGGCAGAGGACGGCGGCGGCGGCTCGCGTGGGCGCGATGCTTTCGCATCCCCAGCGCCGCCCCGATTGGTCGACGACAGCGGCGTCTCACCCCTAGCCGCCTTTGACAGGACCTCTGATGGGGCAGGGAGGCTTTCTTCGAAGTTTCCGCCTCGACGTGGGAGCCCACCCCCTTCGAGTCCGAGGCTGTCCGTGCCCAAGATCCCGAGGGGCACCGTGAAGATCCACATCGCAATCGATGGCATCAAGAAAACGTGTACGAGATGGCCCACGACTCCGCCGCGGCTGACATGGACGACGGCTGCTCCGCACCAGGGGATGACGCAGCTTCGGTGTGCAGCTCGAGCGTGGCTAGCATAGCGGCTCCATCAGCAGGGGCGCGTCGCGACTCCAGGGGCGGCAAGAACCCGATGTACTGGATCAAGAAGCTGACGGTCAACAACGCGCTCTTAGACTTGACTGACAAGCGCGACTTGCACCACGGTGCTGAGCGCGCTAGGAAGTTTGAGGAGAGGTTCCCCGCAGATGACACCAGTGCAAAATTTGGTAAACATTTGACTCGCGTCGGGGTCCTCCTGAAGATCTCACCAGAGCACGTCCTGACTACGGGATGGCCAGAGATTCGAAGCGCGTACTCGGAGCTGTGCGTGATCGACCATCCCCCCATTGGTGTGGCGCTGCTTGCTCTCGTGGAGAAGAAAGCTTCTGAGCTGGCTACGGCGTCCACACCGGGCATGAGCATCAGGGACACGGACATCATGGACCTCGCGGGATGCGTCGCGCCGTGGCAGGTAGAAGGTGCATCGGACACAGCGGCAGATGGTGAGCCAGTCGTATTCGATACCCTGCGCCCTCAGCTCCATCCGCTTGCTCCGATCTTAAGTGGCGGGGTGCAGGCCAACGTCATGGCGAAGTTCAGCGTTAAGAAGTCCGTATGTCAGATCATATCGACCACGGACGCCGAGAACATAGCATCCAACATGGCAGCGGTCCGCGCTCTCACTTAACTTTTGGATTTGCCCGATGACGTCGAGATCGCGAACGAAGTCATGGCCTTGTGCGACGGCATCTACTTGAGCATTCGCGCTTTCGAGGCCGTGCTCAACGTTCGCATCGCTGTCGACACCAGGTTCGACTACATCCAAGACGTGGAGACGCTGTACCAGGCATCTGAGATGACAACTGGGCGCTCAGTGCTGCAGGACATCGGGCGCGCTGTTAATCGCAACGCTTTCTTGGGCGATCGTCTTACAAGCATGGTGCAGAACATCGGTGTCATCAGGGAGAAGGGCCCCCCTAGCGCAGGCGATCGTCGCGAAGCTCACTAACATTAACGATACCACCAGCATCGACGACTGCGCAACTACACTGGCGGAGGCGGTGACCCACTATAAGCAGTATGCGTGTCCCTTCCCGAAGGAGTCGCGCGCAACGCTCGAGGAACTCATCCATTCCACTGGGGTCAAGTTGTTCGACAAGTTGCCCAATGTACCCGCCGATGGTGATGGCGACCAAGCGGCTGCACGCTTGATGAACGCGCGGCGTATTTTCCAGACTTGCTGGCAGGTGTTTCCGACTATGGATTGCTACGACAATTTCATCGACGTTTGCCCCCCAGATCCTAAGCATCAGGGTCAACGCTAATTTCACCGCGACAGTTTGCGAGAAGCCCACTGGCATCGTAAGTATGGACCAGTCCGCATACGAATAATGTCCCGGCGATGTTGGGCAGCTCATGGGAGAGCGCAGCGGCCTGCTGTTTCGGGGCGAGTTCGCCCAAGGCGAGGCCGCCATTCTGGCTCTGAGGGGTGTCATTAACGATATTGGACAACTATTAGGGATGGTTCCTGTGTGCGACGGGCTGTCTGGTATATTGCAGGGGTGCATGCACGCTTGCAGTGAGAAGAACGCGAACTCCGCCCGTACACTGGCCAACACTACGAGACATTTGGTGGAAACACTGCGCAACGTGAAGCCCCACGCCACATATCTCAATAAGGTCAATGTGGAGCACAGCATTGCCCTGGGTATGGCGAGTGCCCTCCAATTCTCTCGCAGCGTCAAGTCGTTGAAGGGGTCATGCAAGGCGAATGTTTTGGAGGGTGCTCGTGTAGCTGAAGTGTCAAAGCATATATCCGACCCATGCGTGGCTGCGCTCGCCCTAGCTGGTGGCAACCACATCTCCGCGCCCAAAAGCAAAAACACAGCAATCATTGACAATCTCTTGCGCATGGCTGAGGCCAGGGACAAGTACGGCAACATTTGGTCTCACGAGCTGCCCACTACAAACAAGGATTGGGACAGCTTCTGCACTGTGTGCCAGGGCTCGCTGATGTCGGTCGACGGGGAGGCGCTGGACGAGCTTATCGGTGCATGTGGCGTCGAGAGGGAGAAGTACGCCGAGATCATGAACGTTTTCGGTGGCATCGACGATCCCGAGTGGAAGCAAGTACAAGATGCTCTTGCCCAGGGTCGCATTACCGCCACCTGCCGCAAGCTCATGGAGATCTACCTGGACAAGTCCGTCGATAAGCCATCGATGCGCAATGAGACGAAGACGCAGATCGAGGGCCACGCGAAGCACGGCATCACGAAGGACATGTTCCCACCCTGCTCGTGCGGCGCATGCAGGCGGCCATGAAGTTGCAGGCGTTCCCTTGATTGCTTGTCGGCTGCGCCGCTCCAGCGAACACCCACCAATTTATGTATGTGGAGTCGCGCGTGGCGTGTGCTGGACTTCTCGAACAGGCATGATAGAGTAAGGACCCTGCCTGCTAGACTTCATGTGGCACCCGCATCCAGTAATACTACACACGAGCATAGAGCACATAGCATTCCACAACGGTATGTTACAGTAACGCAACACATTGCATGCTGGATTTGGGCAGCGCTGGTGCCACAGTACCTTTCCATGCCATACGGTTTCAGGCTTTGCTTCAGTTTCCGAGCCGCCGTTGCACATGACGGCGAGGTAGTAGCTAGGATGTGTAGATTGTCTGTGCGCGTGGGCGGCCGAAGGCCATGTGCATGTGTGGCGCATGTATGCGTGGATGCGTTGTTTCATGCATGCATGGGTGCACACATGAGCGCGCTCGCTTGTATTAGTATTGGTGTGCCAGTGCTTTTTTGGGGGCTGGGATGACTGGAAGCTGATACGTTTGGTTATTTCTGGGAAGCCTGCCTGAAAGCCTTCCCTGCCTTCTGAGAAGAGAAGCCCGCCTGCCTTCTGATAGTGCCTTCCTGGGAAGCCTCCCTGAGGCGCCCGGTGGGAAGCCTTTTTGTCTTCTGAGAGGTCGTCGGAAGCCCACTGAGCTTTGTTTGGTGCCCCGAATGGGGCTGGCGGGCTTCTCGGTTGTGCAGGAAGCTGCTGGCCGTTTGCTTGCAGACAGCGTTTTCTCTGCGTTTCGCCGGTGCGCCCTCGCCCATCTTGTGCGAGCAGAGGCGCACGGAGTACCTGGTGCGGTCAAGGGCGAGTTGCGTCATCCAACGCTGTGTGTGGAGCACGCATCAGGAGTTCTTAATGGGATTGCGCACGTTGAGACATCATCACGATGCGGTGCCCGCCCGTGGATATCAAAGTATTCGTTTGCGTTGTACTCTTCCGCCCACGTCTGTGAGGAAATATGTTGGCGTCGACATCCGGCGCGACAGCGTACGGTTCGGTGGATCTGCACTCGGGGACACGTCAAGTATGGGGCTGCTCTTGTTTATTTTACGTGAGTATTCGTAGTTATTATTACCATTACCGTTTGCGATATGCTTGCTATTATTTCCTGCTGTTGTTCATGTCGTTGTTGTTGTTGGTATAACGCTCTTTCTTGTTCACTCTTCTACCACCTCCCGCAGCATATCACGCGGCCGCTGCAATTGCAAGGCTTCTTGCGCCAACGGTGCCAGTCACCAGACGCATGCGGCATGGGGGTTGTGCCCCCACCCACAGGGCGCCCACATATCCAGACAGGCTCCAGAGGGCCCCGCACACCAGGCAGCACCCGTAGGATAACACCCATATGGCACATGCGGAAGGCGTCGCACGCGCAGGCCGCCCAGCGAGCGCGGCGCAAACGACGCCGCCAAGGGCCACGACATCCATGCCACATCCCCGTGACGCATTTTGCGGGCCCCGCGTCTAGCCACTAATACCCCGAAAGGGGTATATCGGCAACCGCGCGGGGTACGTTGTCTCTTCGTCGGCGGCGCGGCCAGGGGCCACCCCCTGCGCACCCCCTATGGCGCGGAGGAAGTGCCACGCCCGCAACGCCCCGCGACCCTGGGACGGTTACAGACCGCAGTGAGGGACCACCCCCTACGCACCCCATGTGGCGTCGAGAAATTGCCACGCCTGCCACGCCCCTGCAACGTTGCGCCACCTGGGAGCGCGAGAACGGGCTTTCATTATGCGAGGGCCCTAGTGGAGTATTTTCGGGGCAACCATGCAAACTGCCGTTGCCCCTCAGCGTCGACGCGGCCACGCGTTGTTCGCATGCCGAATGCGTTACCAGTTGCGTCGGCGTGGCTTTGCGCAGCAATGTGGCGGCATGCCTTTGTCATTGCGTTTGCGCGTTTTTATGCGCATCGGTCGCGCACTGTATGCCCCTTCAGTCGGCGCGGCGTGCCCACTCGCCACACTGCGTCGCACGCGTGGACCCAGCCTTGCGCGAAGCCACCGATGTTGGCGCCGACGAGGCCGCGAATCATGATCCTCTGTTCGCGCGCGCCAGCGATACCCCGCGCGGCAAGTTCCCCCCTGACCCCCCAACTTTGCCCACCCACCCTGCGCCGCCACGTGCCGACGAAGTTTGTCGTCCTTTGCTTTGGCGCTGCCCCGTGCTGCACTGGCAAGCAACCAGTTGCACCCGCGAATGCGCATCTACACCCGCGCTACCACTTGAGACCCAGCGTTCTGCGAGGGCCAAACCGGCGCGCACAAAGGGGCAGGAGAATTCATTGCCCTCTTGCGCCGGCACACCCCCATTGGACACCAACGCGCGATCCGTTGCCCCGTTGCGTCGCGTCCGCCGCGACGGGTAATGGAATGGACCCCGCGGGCGCATGAGCCCCCCCCCGTATCCCCCCATGGGTTCGTTCGCAAGCAGGAGGCTTGTCGCGTCGGTGATGCAGCAATTATCACCCCGCGCACGTCCCGCAGGACATGTGTTCTTCGGTGACCATGGAGGCGCGCCCACGCTGCAACGAAGCCGTTTCATCAGCCAGAAGTGTCGGCGCGGCCCCGCGCGGCAGCGGCGTGAATTTCGTTGCCTCTGCGTCGGCGTAGCCCGTCGGGCGACGGAGCGACGTCCGTTGGCCTTAGCGCGTGCGAGGCAATTTGTATCATAGAGAGAGAGGGCGCGACGCGTTGCCAACCGCGTCAGCGCGGCACGAACGCGCCCCGCTGCGCCACTCGCAGGTGCCCAGCGTCTTGCGAGGGCCCAGGGAAGGGGGGGCGCACTTGCAGGGGGGCAAGCCAACGCCCGTTGCCCCTCGTGACGGCGTGGCCCCATGGGGCACAGATGCGTGACCTGCGGCCCCTTCCGCCGCGACCGATGCGATGTGCCCCGTAGGATCGACTGCTCACGCTGCGCAATGCAAATTGCGCTTTGTAGGTTCCAGCGAGGACACTTCGCGCATGTTCTTGAGCGCAATTAGCAGCGCGGGATCCTCGATGCATTGCGCCGCGCGATTCAAACGACGCGCTTTGATGCTGATTCATGGGGGCGGGCTGCGCAGCGGCAACCGCTGCGCGACTTGGAGACGCAACAACACTGGTGACGCACGGTGTCTGAAGGCATCTCGTACTCGTCGCCCTCCTGGGCCACGCGTTGGCCAGAGTGAGAGCTGATATTGTGCGCCGTGCCCGCGGCAGCAACAGGTGACATTCCTGTTCGGGGATGCCCCTGCTACCCCGAACAGCCGATGCCAACGCGCGTCCTTCGCGCATGTGCACCAGCCGCGAACCACCTTCTCGGCACCCTGGCCACCTCGCGGGGGACAACCCCCTTTGGAAAAATTCAGCGCTTCGCGACAACATTTCAAAACCCTCAAGACGATAACATTTTGAGTATTTTTATTATTTCAGGGACATCCCTCCTGGAGGGAGGTCCCTGATCATAAGTCCAAGCACCATCGGCGTCGGAGGCCACCTGCATCACCAGCACGAGCGCCAGGGTGATCGGCCCCTTCGTCACCAGGCGCTACATGGCAGGCGGGAAGGTGCAGGTCATCAACGACCTTTCTGTTGCCACGCACAAAGGAGTAGTCTATGAGCTGGACGTCTCCTCCCTGCCTCGCGATGTGAAGACAATGCACATTGCCAAGCCGTTCCCTGTCGGCACTGCGACTGGCTCCCAACGCCTGCCAGCTGACTTTGAAACGCTGTCTGATGGGGACCAGGACCCACAGGCTCGTCAAGTGGCGAGCATAGGGCAAAGCGACGACGTTGACAGGAGGGCACTGGGCGGCAAGTTCCAGGCCTGGCTCCACATGAACGTGGACGAGCTGGCGGGCTACTACGACCTGCACGAAAAAGAAGATAAGCACCGAGGCCGCGAGCACGGGGTCAAGTATGTCACCACGACGCTGGACATGCACAAGCGGCACCAGGACCAGCTCAGTGGCGCGCCCAGCCCCGCCGACAGCCACTGGCAATGGCTGGCCGATCGGGTCTGCGAGTGGCGTCATGGCCGAGCACGCTCCGCAGGAGCGAGCGCTGCAGGGCAGGCTCATGAGGTTCAGGCCAGCGACCAATGCCACCTCGAGGCCCGAGACGCGGGTTCGGTGGTGGGCTACTGTTCGACGCCTCCACACGGCCAGCGATGACGAGCTGGATGTGCCGGAGGAAGACCTCCGCAATTGTGCTCGATGGATTTCAGACAAGGCAGCTTACAGACGGCACCGAAATTGGATTGACTGGTCGAGGGACTCAACGAGGCAAGATGGCATGAGGCAGGCCTGCAAGTGGCTGAAGCAGGACGCCCCGCGGTCGGCCTCCCCGCCCGCGGTGGCTCCTGGCAAGGTGCACGCCACCAGCGACGAGGCCAACGCAGCCATCGAGCTTTGGCACCTGCTGCGGTCCCAGGGTCCAGGGCGGGACGCCATCGAGTGGCAGCACGACGACTTTGACGGCGCCACAGTCGGGTTTCCCACGGTCGACGAGGCGCGGGGAGCGTCGCACACCTTCTCGGGGATCACGGGCCTCGGCTGCGACGCGGTGTACCCGAGGCAATTCACGCTGCTCAACGACCAGGCCATCATGGTGCTCATCTGCATATGGGACTGCATGCTGGCGACAGGACACGCGCCAGTGGCGAACGCCCTCATGCGCGAGGCCCCACTACCGAAGCCTGACGGGGGCCGCCGCACGACTGGGATACTTCCTGGGACGACGCGGCCGCTGAATCGATGGTTCAGACACGGCGAGGGCGGCAGATGGGCCGACGGCCATAGGCGCGACTATGCGCATGGAGTGGACGGCCAAGGCAGGAGCGGAGGGTTTGCATATTGAAGCAGGCCGCGCAAGCAGAGCACGCCTCGGCGCGAGGCTTGACAGCGGCTCCGATCTCGCTCGACCGCATCGAGGCCTACGAGCACATTTGCAGGCACCTGCTCGTGGTCAAAGCTCGGGCCCTGGATTGCAACATGCTGCTGCTGCGGACGCTGGTCGGATTCTGCAGCATGCCGAGGGTCTCGTCGCTCGACGGCCTTATCGCGGGGGCGTTCAGCCCGTCGAGCGAGGTCGTAGCTGGCTGCTCGTTCGCTCACCTGATGACAAGGGTCTTCCGGATGCCGATCTTGGACCGCGCGGCGAGCATGCCGAACCTCGACCTCGGCAACGTCGCCAGCCCTCGGGGCGCGAGGAGCGAGTGGTCGGCACGCTCGCCAAGGCGCACGCGACGGCGCGGGCGGGGCTCTGGGCAGACCACCTGGCGCGGAACGACGCCAAGGGCCAGACGGTCTCCAACCGCCACTCGGCGGCGGCGGCGGCGCCGAGTCGGCGCTGCCCGTCGCTGCAGGGGCGGGAGGCCCGCTCGACTCGCAACCTTGGATGCGATTTGTTGCGCGGCACGCAGCTCGGCATGGCCACCCGCCGCAAGAGGCCTGGACAAGCGCGCAGAAGCGCGGCGCGAAGGTCCGAGCCCTTCGCCGCGCCCGAGGAAAATGCAAACAGTTAGTTTCTACGGGATGGCGCCTGCGGGGGTGATTGGGCGGGCTCGGGGGCAGGCGACGCATCTGAGTCGAGCGGCCCGAGCGGCCCTCTTCGCGCACGCGGCTCGCCGATCGCTCACGCTCGACCCCAGCAATTTTGAAAGGAGACCCTGCTGCGGTAGACCCGGCGTATAAATGCACTGCCGTGCCCATCGCCACGCTGGCCCAGACAGTCCGGCCCCGTTGGCCCCCAGTAGATTGGAAAGGCTTCCTCTTCAGCGAGGCCGACGAGTGCTTCGCCCATCGACAAGACCCAGACGTTGATCAGGGGCCCCGCCGGCGCCGCCCTTGCATCCTGCCTTCGGTTCGGTTGGTCGCTTGCGCCTGGCACCCCTAGTTTGAAGACGGCTCGAGGCGACGCGCTGGTTTTAAATGTCGCCTGCCCCCGCGCGATCCAGAATATCGCCACGCAGGGAGTTAATACTTGGCGTCTGGGCACTGCGAACGCTAAATGCCCCCACCCGCCTCGGCCCCCCACCCCCCTCTCCTCGCCCCAATTCGGCACCTCTGCTCCGTCATCAAGCCCTCGGCAGCCGACGACTGGGCGGCACTGCACCAGGCCGCGGCGCGTTGTCTAACAGCCAACGGATATTAGGACAATGCCCCTCGCGCGCTGGCGCTGCGGGCACTGCCCTAGGACACGGGGTTTCCGACGGGACTATTTGCCGCCTGCTTCCCTGAAGGAAGGCGCCCGCGATAGGAGCGGGCGGGCGCCATGGAGTCACGGACTCTTGCCAGACTCTGTCGCTTGGCGCTTGGCCCCCTCCTTGGAGTTCGGGGCAAGTTGGCAGGTCAGGCCCCCTGGAGGCCACCTGGACGAAGAGGCCTTTGGCGACGGGTCCTGCGGGTCCATCTTGGCTTCCGAGCTTCGCCTGAAAGGCGCCGGCTGGTCCGTGGCCCAAATTTCGGGAAGCGATTTTGATGTCAGGGCCGCCCTGCGTGGACCCCTACCTGGACTCCTCTGGGACTCCGAGGTTGCCAAACTGTTTGGTTTATTGATAACGTCTCCCACGGCCCCCTGGGACCCTGTCTGTATTTCCGCGGCCACGACTGGGTTGTCACCCGTTTCAGCAAAAGCTGCGAGGAGGATACTGTGGGCAGCATGTGCATGTGCGCTGACCAGTGGAGGCGGGCGCGGGAGGGGGTGGACGACCTGGGCGGGGTGGAACTGACCAACGTAGAAGGCCATGCGCTTGTGCGCGATGACGACCGATCGGACGACGCTGGTATCACAGGCTCGGCAATAACGGGGCTGATAGGCGTGCGAGGATCAGCGCAGCGAGACACCCCCAGGACCAAGTCGCCAACAATCGTGTCCTTCGCACCGCGAGCCTATCAGCACATGCGCGCAAGTTTCTCTCTCGCACGTTGCGCGCTGCAGGCCTGCCCGCCAGCACGGCTTCGACTCGCGATGCCGAGACCCAAGGCCGACGACGGCCGCCCCCGAGGCTCATTGCTTATGATGAGGGCCCGTCTGGTGAGCATGAGTCTGCTCGGTTCGCGGGAACGCTGCGCTGCGCCAGGTGCCTGCGCGCGGCCAAGCCGGCCACGACGCTTCGGCAGGCCCCATGCCGTCCCGCGGTAAGCCACCGCCTCTGGAGCGTCGGGCTTTTGTCACCTTCCGTGGTGCATGCGGAGCCCACGCGTGCGACCATACGCATCTTCTAGTGGCAGACTGCCGAGGACACCGCCCCCGTGGGTCGACGGCGCGCGTACGTCTTGACTGCCTGGGGGGAGGACACCACCCACGTACTGGAGCGAAGCTACCATTCGGTTTGGGGCCCGTAGTTCCGACTCCGTTTGGTGCCTTCGCCTTGGACGTCAAGATCGGTGACCTCGAGGGCCTCCCCGATTGGTGAGGTCGTCGCAGACAGAGTCGCCCATTTGGGGCGGAGAGGTGCCCGCCCGCTAGGTGCACGCTGCTCAGCTGCGGCGCCTGCGGATATTCATTTCGTTTCGAGAGTCCCGCCGCCGCTGTCGTGCACCGTCGGGCCACACCCCAGTAAAACTCCTCCTCTTCCTCGTCCTCCTCCTCCTCCTACTCCTCTTCCTCCTCCTCCTCCTCCTCCTCCTCGTCCTCCGTTCCTTCTCCTTATAAGTAGCCTTTCCCTGTCGCACCCCGAGGCTCTGCGTCTGAAGCTTAACAATTGGCAACATTTTCACAGATGGAGGGCGGGCCGTTTTCAAAATGTGGCTCTCGCTTCAGCGCCGCGCACATTCGTCTTAAACATTTGCAATGGCTTCACGGATTGAGGGCGAGTCGTTTTCAAAATGTGGTTCTCGCTTTGGCGCTTCGCACATTCGTCTTAGAATTTTGCCAGAGTCTCACGGATTGAGGGTGGTTCCTTTTCAACACGTGGTTCTCGCTTTAGCGCCGCGCACATTCGTCTTAAAAAATGTACGAGTAAAACGACTTTCGTACCAGAAAGTACGTTTTGGAAGGATTCAGGCTTGTGAGGGTGCACAAGTTATGTTGATTTGCGGTATTCAAGTCCCAGGCGTTCTGGCACGATTCAGGATCGTCAAGACGCAATAGTCAGGTTGATCCGTGGCGTTGGAATCTCAAGAGCAATGTTTTGACATGCTTCAGGGTCTTCAAACAGTTGTCTTCCAAAGAGGCAGTTCCCTCAGTAAGAATGAACGTTGCACGGGCCTGTGAAGAGGGAGCTTGGAGGGATGGTTTTTGTCCATCATCGTTGATGCATCTTGGGTTTACACTGGTCCTCCTCCTCCTCATCGTCATCATTATCATCATCATCATCATCATCATCATCAGCAGCAGCAGCATCATCATCATCATCATCATCATCATCATCCTTCTCATACTCATCCTCCTTCTACTCCTCCTCCTACTCGCCATCCTCCTCCTCCTCCTCCTCCTCCCGCTGAAGGGCCCACTTGGAAAAAAATCTTCGAGGAGGAGGAGGAGGAGGAGGAGGAGGAGGAGGAGGAGGAGAGGGGTTCGGTTCCATCGCCCTGGAAGGCCCGAGTCAGGCTTGCAACTACCAGGCGGGTGCCGCTTCCCAGAGGAACAACAGCCGAGGTGGGAGGAGGCGTAGGGGGAGGAGGACGAGGACGAAGGAGGAAAAATAGGAGGGAAGGGCCCCCAGAGGAGGAGGAGGAGGAGGAGGAGGAGAAGGAGTATGAGGAGGAGGAGGACGAAGAGGAGGAGGAGGAGGAGGAGGAGGAGGACGAGGAGGAGGGGGAGAAGGAGAATGAGTATGAGGAGGAGGAGGACGAAGAGGAGGAGGAGGAGGAGGAGGAGGACGAGGAGGCCCCTCCGCCGCGTCACCTCCCCTCCAGGCCGAGCCAGAGGCGGCAGAGCCTGCGGCCGTGGAGGGAGTGCCGCCGCTGGCGAGCTCCGCCGCGGAGGAGTGCCTCCGCCGCTGTGCCCTCCACGCCGCGCCGCGAGCGGAAATCGCTACGTCGGAGGCCTGGTCGACATGTTTTCTGTATTGTCTCGCCGATCGACGCGGGACGCAGCTGCTGTCTGAGTGGGCCGGCCGGCTTGCTCTTGTCTTAGCTAATTCGCCTAGTTCGCGTCCCGGACTTTGCTCTCGCCGCCTGACCGTCGTCTCGCGGCCGCGACGCGGGCCCCCGCCTGATCCCCCTCCCCCAACCACATAGAGCAGATGTTGTCTGCTTTGGGCAAGTGGTAGAGTCTGGACCCCTCCCCCAGTCTGCCTATGCGACTGGCAGAAGTAGAGATCGACCGAGCACCGGCCTAGACCCAGACCCCGTCCTCTCCCCCCACGCTTCGGCCAGAAGTCGAAACCCAGAAGAAAGAAACACAAACCTTGGGGCTGACCAGCGCCACCAGCCGAAGAGCAAGACACGGCACAAGCGCACACGTTCGGAGGCCGGTGTTGGATTTCTTCTGTGGTGCTCGCAAATACACCACTACTCTAAGCTCCATGCCCAAAACGACCATGCCCAAAACGACCACTCTAAACTCGTGCAGGCATGCTCAAAACTTTGATATATGGTATGCCACATTTCTCAAGCACGCCCAACGACCCCACACGCCCGCCTTACCAAGGTCAGGGGGGTTCAGCGCCGGCCCGAGAACCTGCGCGGACCCCCGAAAGGTTACGTTCGTGCACCTTGTGCTCCTCCACTCCAGGCCGGGCCGCCCCTGGGAGCCCACGTCCGCTGGGATGTGCGGCCGAGGCGGGCACCGCAGAGGCTTGGCCGGCACTGGTCAGCACCCAGGTCTCTGACGTCGCGATTCCCTCGCGACGATGGCACCCCTGAGCTCTCTCTCTCTCTCTCTGTCTCTCGCGCTCGCCGGACCCTCGTTCAAGCGCACTGATTGAGGTCATCCGCTTTTCCAGACTGGAGGCGACGCTCTCAGGTCCCCATGAGGTCCAAAGTTTCCCGTCGGTCCATCAAAGTTCTTCGGACGGCCAAGAAGCCCCAAAGTACGAGCAGAGAATGGCTGCAGACCAGGAGAGGCATGAGGGTGAGCAGCCAAAGAGTGAAGGAGAAGCAGACCAGAAGTTCGATGGCACAAGTTGTTTCCCCTGCCAGTATTTGGCGCGTTCGCCTTCCGAGCTCTCTGAGGCGCTGCTTTATCTTGTCCGAATGTCTCTGCGCTGTACGGTTCCAACGGCTTGCCATGAAGGAAAGGGGTCCTGAGGGAGGCGGGTCCTGAGGTTCTTCGCTGTGTTTCGCCTCCTGGGGCCCTCAACGGACCCCGGGGCTGTCAGAGAGCGACTCAGGGTGAAGAATCGGTCCTGGAGGGGAGGCCCAGGGGTCCAGGACACGTTTTTGCTCCCTGTGAACACGCTCCCTTCGTGCCAGAGCGGCGGCCAGAGACGGTCCCCTCAGAATCGACCCCCCCCCCCCCCATGAGCGGGTGGGGGGGCACAGCAGCGGAGTTGATGAGGAGATCGCCCGCGAGCAGGCCCCAGGAGTGGCCAGATCGTGGGTTCCGAGGGAGGCCAGCGGGAACGCCCCGGGGGCGACGAAGACGCAATCAGCGCGCACCGCCGCGCCGCCCACGGTCCACGCGGCGTCGTGCACGACCACGGCGCGGGCGGGCCGCGCCGGGATCGTGCACGAGGGGCTCGGGGTTCGAGGGGTCCAGGTCGGATCTTTGCAGGCGGGGTGGCCCTGAAGGGCCTATGCGCAGAGTTTGCGGGAGGCTGAGGGTGTCGGGCGTGGTGGAGGGCAGGGAGGGGTTCGGGGTTCGAGGCTGCAGCGCTCTTGGTCACACCAATGAATGCAGAAGCCTCGACCAATGTCAATGTATGGAACGGCTCTTTGAATGGCATGTATAGTTCCGAGGTGGGCGTTCTGATGAATCGAATGGTAACCAACTACGAGCAAATCACGATAAAGATCGAGAGAATGAGCAATCACATGTTGCAGTTCCTTACCTGGTCCAGGTCGGATTTTTGCAGGGGGCGGACAGCGCATGCCGAACGACAGCAAAGGGACTGCTTCACGGCTTCACTCGCTCTCTGCTCCGCACCCCGTGCGCCGGGAGCCTGCACCAGAGGCCTGTGGGAGCCCCGTGGGGGGCTCCATGGGGCCGTGTCTGGCAGGTTTGGGGGGAGGGGCTCGCCAAACCCCCTCGAGCAATGAAAAAGTCATGACGGGAAGTGTTTCGCCACTTTCCGCCTTTGGGGGACCTCGCCCGGCCTTGGGACCGTCAAAAAACGATTCGGGATGAAAAACCGGTCCTGGGGAAGGGGTCCAGATTTCTACGGGTCGACGTCATCATGAAAAAATAATGACGTCGGGGGTCTGGATCTCCTGGCGCCCGTTTTCGGACGGTGCTAGGACGAGGATCAATCCGTTCCAGAGCGTTCCGGAACGCACTCGGGGCGTTATGGCACTCTCTGAGAAGGCCGCGGCGCCCGAGACATCCTCCAGAGCCGCCAGATCTCAGAGACTCTCGATTCATTCTCAACCGATTGCGAAGGCCTTACGGCTGGTGCCGCCGACCCTGAAGGGGGACGACGACGACGACGACGACGACGACGACGACGACGACGACGACGAAGACGACGACGACGACGGTGGCGGCGGCGGCGGCGACGACGACGACGACGACGACGACGACGACGACGGCGACGGCGACGGCGACGGCGACGGCGACGGCGACGGCGACGACGACGACAGTGGCGGCGACGATGACGACGCTGACGTGGGTCAGGTCTCTTGGAGGCCTCTTGGGCAGTCTTGGGGTGATCTTGGAGGCCTCTTGGGCCATCTCGGAGCAGCGGGAAGCGGAAAAGGCGAGAACGTCCAAATCCTCCCAAAAGTGTTCGGCAAATCTCCGAATGTTGCCTCCTGGGGGCCCATTCGATGTGCCCTCTCACCAGAATGGTGTCCTCGCCCCTGGCGTCGTCCTGCGTTCTCTTGGGAGCCTCGAGGTCGCACAGGGCGGGAGAGGCCACCTGCAGGGGGGGGGGGGGGGCAGGCGGGCGCGGCGCGCACCTCGCCAGGGAGGCGGGCGCCCGCTCGCCTCTCGGGGAGGGGGCGGGTGCCGAGGGGCAGCGGCCGAGGAGCAGGGAGCAGCGGCGGGGGCGGGGCGGAGGGGGCCCTCGGGGGCAACGAAGTGGGGGTCCTCCGCCTCCTCCTCCTCCTCCTCCTCCTCCTCCCTCCTCCTCCTCCTCCTCCTGCTCCTCCTCCTCCTCCTCCTCCTCCTCCTCCTCCTCCTCCTCCTCCTCCTGCTCCTCCTCCTCCTCCTCCTCCTCCTCCTCCTCCTCCTCCTCCTCCTCCTCCTCCTCCTCCTCCTCCTCCTCCTCGTAAAGGCATAGGGCATAAGGGGGGGATGCATCGAGCCGCAATCGCCCACTGACAGCCGATAGGGGCTGGATAGCCCCAGCCTGCCCAGGAACGTGTGGATTCACTGTCGGGGGCCTATCGCCGACCTATTTGCGATGTATCGCCGATTCCAGGTCGATAATTCCCCCCCATGCCTATTCCCCCGTTATCGTTGCCCCTCAGGCCAAGGGGGGACCGTACATGAGCAATAAGTTCGAACCTTGCGGCGCAAGATGTCGACTAGACGTAAGTCGGGCGTGTCCCTCTACATGACGAGTATTCGAGAACAGGAACATTATCCGGGCGAAGGACCCAAGCATACGCAGTTGTGAGTACCGCGCTGTGGGTACCGCTTTCGGTGGAGCTCCCTTTGGGGCCACGAACCGTGTGAGGGGTGTGCCGAAATGGGGCGGCGGTGCCATGCGGACCTTGCCATTGGGGCAGTCGGTGGAGCTCCCTACGGGGCCACGAACCGTGTGAGGGGTGTGCCGAAATGGGGCGGCGGTGCTTTGCGGACCCTGTCACTGGGGCCTTCGGTGGAGATCCCTATGGGGCCACGAACCGACTGAGCAGTGTGCCGAAATGCGGCGGCGGTGCCAAGCGGACCTTGCCATAGGGGCCTTCGGTGGAGCTCCCTATGAAGCCACGAACCAGTGAGCGTTGTGCCGAAATGGGGCGGTGGTGCCATGCGGACCTTGCCACTTGAGCTTTCGGTGGAGCTCCCCACTGGGCCACGAACCGTGTGAGGGGTGTGCCGAAATGATGTGGCGGCTGTGCCTTGCGGCCCCTGCCTCTGGGGCCGTCGGTAGAGCTCCCTATGGGGCCACGAGCCGTGTGAAGAGTGTGCCGAAATGGGGTGGCGGTGCCATGCGGACCTTGCCACTGGGGCCTTCGGTGGAGCTCCCTATGGGTCCACCAACCGTGTGAGGAGTGTGCCGAAACGGGGTTGATGGTGACAATGACCACGATGATGACGACGATGACGATGACTATGATAATGACGATGGTGATGCCGACGACCACGACCACGACGACGACGATTACGATGATGATGATGATGATGATGATGATGATGATGATGATGATGGTGATGATGATGATGTTGATGATGACGATGATGATGACGATGATGATGCTGATGCTGATGCTGATGCTGCTGATGATGATGATGATGCTGATGCTGATGATGATGATGGTGGTGGTGATGAAGATGAAGATAATGATGGTGATTATGATGATAAGGTAATGATGATGATGATGATGATGATGATGATGATGATGGTGATGATGATGATGATGATTATGATGATGGTGATGATGATGATGATGATGGTGATGGTGATGGTGATGGTGATGGTGATGGTGACGGTGGTGATGTTGATGTTGTTCATGGTGACGATGATGATGATGATGATGATGATGATGATGATGATGATGGTGATGATGGGAAGAGGGAGGGGGAGAGGGAGTGGGCATCGGGAGGAACGAGGAGACGCGGGGCGCTGTCTCTTCAAAATGAAGACACAACACCAAAGGATGGTTGGGAGAAAAAGTCTGGGGACGATGTTTCTACTCGTTTTGGCTATGATTACTTACTCATTTTTCTTCCAAAATCCAGCTGTAGGAGGACACGCCCAGCCTAAGCCAAGGGGGGACCGTACATGAACAATAAGCTCGAACCTTGCGGCGCAAGATATCGATCAAACGTCAGAGTGACCTTTGGTGCGGGCCTACTGGGGTCACCCGATCGCTGAGCGCCAAGCGGTAGCAGCGGCTTGCGCGCCTGGGTTTGGCCACCCCGCGTCCCCCGTGAAGCCGCGCACTAAAGGTCACTCTTGCCTAGGGTCATTATTGCGTGTAGCCCAAAATACCCCCCCAGACCCCCAAACTTAATACCGAGGGTGACGCAATGGAAAGGGCACGGGTGGACAGAACTATTCGAACCCCAAAACCACCACCCATGCGAAAATCAACATTGGTTTCGGGGGCGGGGGGGGCGATGAGCATCCCCCTCAAGTGTGCGAGGGTTCGACTATGTTGTCCACGCACTGGAGCGACAGGGAGGTCGGCGACTACGAAGGGTGTGGTTACGGAAGGGTGTGGTTTGAGATCTGTGCCGTTGGGGCTCGGGGGACGCCACCGTGCCCACGTTGCAAGCCGCACACTTTGCGAACCACACTCTTCTGAGTCGCTGGGAAGGGCAGGGAAGCGAAGGGGAAAAGGGGAGAAGGGGAAGGGGGGAAAGCAGTGCGAGCGACGGAGGGGGGGGGCCCGCCCGGCAGGCCGCCCCGGGCGAGCCCGACGTCAGTTCCGAGAAGGACATCGGGCGGCTGCAAGTCTCTTCTTGGAAACCGCATCGATGGCCCCCCCCCCGTGACAAGGGAAAGACTCGGCCAGGCTGAGCGGGGGCAGGCGCTGGGCGATCCGGCAGGGCGGCGGAAGGGCGGTGAGCGAGGCCGCGCCGAAGTTAGGCGGGCGAGGGGCGACCGAGGCCGCGCCCAGAAAGGCGGCGGGCGGTGGGCAGCGGGGCGGAGGGCCACGCCGAAGGTAGGCGGGCGAGGAGCGACCGAGGCCGCGCCCAGGGTGGGCGGCGGGAGGGGGCGGCGAGGCAGCAGGGGGCGCGCAAAAGTCGGGCGGGCGCGGAGCCGCTCCCCAGCGGTGGGGGGCGGAAGGGGCGAGGGCGCCAGGCCGCAGCCGGCGGCAGAGGGGCGGGAAGGCGGGAGCGCCCAGGCGAGCGTTGGCGCCTGGGCGGGCCAAGGCCCGACAAGAGACTCCTCCTCATCCTCCTCCTCTCCTCCTCCTCCTCCTCCTCCTCCTCCTCCTCCTCCTCCTCCTCTCCTCCCCCTCCTCCTCCTCCTCCTCCTCCTCCTCCTCCTCCTCCTCCCCCTCCTCCTCCTCCTCTGCTCCTGCTCCTCCTACTCCTCCTCCTCCTCCTCCTCCTCCTCCTCCTCCTCCTCCTCCTCCTCCTCCTCCCTCCTCCTCCTCCTCCTCCTCCTCTCCTCCTCCTCCTCCTCCCCTCCTCCTCCTCCGCCTCCTCCTCCTCCTCCTCCTCCTCCTCCTCCTCCTCCTCCTCCTCCTCCCCCACAATTACTCAACACGAAAACGACTCTCCCTCTTCCCCTGATGACGTCTTGGGAGTGTTCGCCTCCCCCCCCCCGCGTATTGTTTTTAACACACAGGTTTCCCCGGAGTTAGGTTTTCGCCTGCATTTTTTCCAAAATGCTTCTCGCGCCGGCCTCATTTTCGGGCCCCGCTCGTTCCGAATCGTGCTCCCGCTGCAGCGCTGGCATCATTTCCGCCGGCGCCTGGGCTGCACGCCCGAGCCGGCGCCCGGGCCGGCGCTCGGGCCGCCGGGTCCGGAGCCGGTTCCGGCCGGCGCCGGAAAATCGAGTTCCGAGGCGGCGCCGTAAAAAGGCCATTTGCAACTTTTTATAGCCCCAAAATCGCGTAGCCGTTTGGGGGGCAGGAAAATCTTCAGGGAGGCCTGTGTAGGCTTCTTGGCTTCTGTGCCTCTGGGCTTCCTTCCTTCTCACAGCCTAGGCACCGCGGAGGTGCAGCGGAGTGGTATCTCACAGCTTTTCGCTGCAGCGCAGCAGGCGGATGCTCACGGCCGTACGCTGCATTGCAGCAGGTGGTTCTCACGGCCGCGCGCTGCGTAGCGGCAGGCGGTTCCTCCTCCTTTTGCTGCCGTTGGTTGGTTGGTTGATTGGCGTGCCTTGGGCCGCGCTCCGCTGCGCCGTTCCTGGGCTGGCAGCTGGCGGCGGCGTCGCCGTGAAGGCTGCGCGGGGGCCGGCGCCCACCGTCGTTCCCAGGCCGTGCGGTGCGGTGACCCGTTTGGGGTCGTTTAGGCGCCCTGTCGCCCAGTGCCTTGTGGCACAGTCTGGGGCGCGGCGTCGGGCCCACTCGCTGGCGTTGCCCAGTTGCGCGGTCTACGGTCCAATTGGGCCCCACCGATGGCCGAGTGGAATGGGCCTGCGGTTGTGTTTGGGGCCTGGTGGGCCGCCCCCTTCCCCTGGCTGGCCCGCTAGGGTGATTGGCGTCGCATTGGCGACGCAGTGTCCTGGCTGGCGCCGTGCCCTTCCAGTGTGCCCGTTCTGTGACCCAATCGGCCCAATCGGGCCACCAGGGGTTCGGTTGGCCAGTTCTGGGGTGCTGTCTGGCGCCCGGCGTGTTCGCGGCTGTTTCGGGGGCCGTTTGCGCTGTGTCGGGATTGGCCCCACTTGCAAGGTGCACGCTAAGGTGCATGTACGTTGCCTGCCAGGCTCGAGTGACAGCATCCGTTCTGCACAGCTACTGCACTGCCTCTGGCGAAGACTTCTGCGAGACATCTTCGCGATGGCTTTCGCAACCTCCGAGGTGTCAGCCTTTGTCGCCGCGCTTCCGAGTGGCGCGCTCACTGGGGCAGAGCCGCAGGCCATGGAGGAGTGGTGCAATTTCCTCCTGAGCGTCGATCCCACACCGAAAGCGCGCCACGACCTCTTCTGGTATCTGTCGGTTGGGCGTCTTCTTGGTGATTCGATGGGTTCCATTTCCCGCTCGATTTCGCTGACCCCGCAATGCGGGACATGATCACGAATCTGGTGAAAAACGGGGAGAAACCTTATGACAAAGAGGGCGAGAGCGCTGAGTTTCGTGCCTGGAAGGTGCAGCCCGCCCAAGTGGCCTTTGCTCTCCGCGTTCAGGGGAAATGTGCCACGTCCGCGCCGCCACCTCCGACTGCTGAAAACACCCTGGCCAAGACAATGGCTGAGTATCTCGAGGCCCAGGCTGCGACGCACAAGCGCTCAGTGAAGGCTCTTTCGTTCAAGTTGCCGGACCGCGTCGCAGAGCTGAGCATGGAGAATTTCCCTGAAGACCTCCTGCCGTCTGAGGAGGGCCTCGCTACCTTCGAGGAAAGGGGCCGCGTGGCCAAAGATAGGGGCCGCCCATACGTGGGCAGCGCTGATGGAGAGGATCTCCAGAAGTATTTCCGCCCCACGTGGTCGAAGATGCCACGCATTGATGCCCCCGTTGGCGAAGGCAGCGTTGCTGAGCGGCACCGCCAGACGGTGGATTTCAAGCGCGCCAAGACCAGCGGGGAGCTGGAGTATCCTGGGTACGCGTCCTTCCCGTCGCACCTGATGGACTGGGGTACTAAACTGATCCTCATGAAGGTTGCGACGCCCGTGGACATCCTGGGTTACACGGGCCTCCTGAGCAAAATGGCCGAGGAAAATGGGGGCGCCCGGACGGCTCACCAGTGCGACCTGCTCAACCGGACCGCCATGGCCACAGCCTTGGAGAAGAGCGATGCTGGGTGGAAGCGCTTATTTTCCAAAATCGACATGGACAGGCTCCGCGAGGACCAGAACACCTGGTCGAACAAGAAGTGAAGCCAGAGCCGGAGCTGCAGCTCAGGCTCCAGCGACGATTCCCGCCGCTTTGATGCGGAACCGAGCGATGTAGCATCGCATGCTTGCCGTAGTTTAAGCGGCGCTGCCAGCGTGCCCCGCTCCCCCCAGGGGCGGGTCGAGCCTGGATTTAACCTTGAATTCCCAGCCTTTCCTGGCCTGTCCCGGATCCGGGAGCTCGTGCATAATTTCCTGTCTGCTCCATGCGTGGAGACTTTAAATCCCCCGCAGCATCTAGAGTGGGCATTGGCCCTTCCTCCTGGCGAAGACTCGCCAGTTTTGCCTTTCCAGCTCCAAAAGTGGCTCGACAGAGAACTTTCTCTCGACCCGCCCCGTTTAGCGCAGGCCCGCTACGATAGTCTGCAGCATTGGCGTGAGCGCAAGCGCGTGCTGGACCCACTTTGGGCGCGTGAATGGGCGCTGCTGCCTGAGCACGTGCGTGGCGCGTTGGGTCCGAAGAAAAATCTGCTTGTGCTTTCTGAAATGCTCCAGGTGGAATGGCCCGACCAGGCTCTCGTGGATGATCTCAAGCGAGGTTTTCCTTTGATAGGCGCACTCCCGCGGAGCGGGGTTTTGCCAAGCAGCTCTTTGGGAGATCGCTTGGAATGCGCGTCTAGTCTGCGCGAGCAGGCCAGCGAGATCAATCGGGACACGCTCCGGCGCGTCGGGCGCCCAGATGGCCTCGAAGGCTCCGTTCGCCAAGTTTTTGAAATGAAGTGCGAGCGCGAGGTTGCCGAGGGCCACGCTCGCTGGCGTGCTCTAGACGACAGTTGCGTTTTCCGTGCTCGTTTTCGGGCCGACGAAGGCTGGACAATGAAATTTGACAAATGGGAGCGCAAAGTGCGTTGTATAGATGACTTCACAGCGTCCAAGGTGAACTTGGCAGCATCGCCATGCGAGGTCGCCCAGCACGACATGCTGGACAGTTTTTCGGCGGTTCTCTGCGAGGTCATGCTGGCCAACGCTGGCGGAGCCGCGTTGCGCAAGGAGGATTTTGTAAACGCGTTTAAGACGCTGCCCCTCGCCAGCTCCCACCTGCAGTTTGCAGTTGTGACGTGGGGATCTGCCGCCAGTCGCGGCCAGGCTCCCCAGCTCCTTGCATGCCCATTTGGGGCTACGGCGTCAGTGCACAGCCGGGGGCGGTTCGGCGCAGCCGTTCGCGCCATTTTGGCTGAGCTGTGTTTCGTTGTTTTCTTGCGTTTTGTCGACGATCTGTTCGGCGCAGATCGCGCGCTGCACGGAGCGCCGCACCTGGCAACACCAGCCGGCGCATCTGACGTCGCGCGCGCCGTTGTCACCGATCTGCTCGGCTGGGAGTTGGACAGCGAGAAAAGAGTTGCGCAGGCGGACGCTGCGCCAGTTCTTGGCGTCGACTGCGCAATTGACAAGGACGCGGGGCGCGTTATTGTGGCCATCCCCCCGGCGAAGATCGCTGAGTGGACGTATGAAATTCGAGACGCGTTGGCTCAGCAGCGCCTGCAGCCAAACGCGGCGAAAAAGCTCGCTGGGAAGCTCAGCTGGGGCTCGTCTGCAGTGTTCGGCCGTGCTGGACGGGCGCATTTGGCCCCGCTCTTTTACCACGCGTCGCACTGCAGTTCGTCTTTGTCTGGCCGCGTGGAGCGCGCGCTGCGCTGGTGGCTCTGCTTTCTGGAGCGCGTGCCCCAGCGAATCGTTCCCTGCGCCAGTCCACTCGCTAGGACTCGGTGCATCGTCTATTCCGACGCAACAGGGCATGGCGACGTGGCGTGGGCCATCTGTCTGCCTAATGCGCGGTTTTGGGCGGCTTCCCAAGTGCCTAAAGCTGCGTGGCGCTGGGCGTGCGTCAGGAAAACACAAATTGCTACGTGGGAGCTGCTTGCAGCAATCTGCGCGCTGCAATGGCTTCTGGGGCAAGGCCTCGGGGACCTCGATGTGCTTCTGTTCGTGGACAACAAAACTGCGTTGGGGACGCTGGTCCGCGGCTCGTCCAGGCAAGCAGACTGGAACGCGCTGATCGGTGATCTCTGGCTCCGCGTAGCCAGGACAGGCACGCTGCTGTCGAGTTTCTACGTACCTAGCCAGTTGAATCTCGCAGATGCGCCAACAAGACCGAAAGAAAAATATGCTTCGCTGGAGGCGATGCAGCGAGCAGGTTTCACCAGTGCACCGTGGAGCATGCCATCAGACGCACCATGGCCCCAATGACTGCCTTGCCGGCCTGCCGTTGGAAAATGCATCGCCCGCATCCTCAGTCATCGAGCGCGGCGTCTGTTGCGCTTGTCGCGCTTCTGCCTGCTGCCAAGGGCTTTCCGTAGCCCCAGGGCCCAAATGCTTCAGCTCATTGGCAGAAGCCGCGCCCAAGCCATAGCAGCAGCCAGCAACGCCGCCAGCGATGGGCCAGGAGGCGGCCAGGCCGAGGCCGCGCCCCGGCTTGGCCAGATTTAATCCGACAGGCCGCGGACACGCATGCCCCGGGAGGTGGATTGGAAGAGTTGTGTTCTGGATTGGCTCGCGCTGGCGCCGAGGACCCCCTGGATTTTTCATGATTGGACCCAGACAGCGCCCGCATCATTTGGATGCCGCTGGCAACGTGCACGCCTGAATTCCTTTCCAGGTTATTACGTTTATGCGACAATTACTCGTCTCTTGCTCAGCGCGGGTCGGCGCAGACAGTGCCATCGCCAGTCGGCGGTCGGACCGAGGATGCCGAGGTCGCCGCGGCAGCTCAGAAGCCCTTCCCCGCGCAAGCGCCCACCCCTTTTGCGGCGCAGCCTGGGGCGCAGCGCGGGGACCGAGGCATGGCCGCACTGGCGCTTGTCGCGCAGGCCAGACAGCAACGAGTGGCTCTGGCGCCGGACGCGCTCGCCAACGCTCTCCGGGACATGGCCAAATTGCCCGACCAACCGTTCGGAGTGCTCGAGTTAGGCCCACGGGCTGTTGCAAAAAGAGCTCGGAGGGACGACGCAAGCGTGGATACGTTCGAGTTGCAAGCTACGTGGCTGGAATTCTCTGGTTGGAAGCGCAGCGCGTCGCAATATGCGAGCGCGGTTCATTTGCGGGGTCAGGCCGCGGCCCTGGCGCGTCAACCGCCGCGGCCGCCGTCGCACTCTTCCGTGTCTGCTTTCTGTGTTTTCTTCCGCAGCAGTGCCTCTCTGGGACGTTATTTCTCTCATATCCGGTCGGCGTTGGCTCTTCTGCGCGTTCCTGTTGGGGAGTTGAGCGATACGACGCGGCTAGTGAGAGGCGCTCAGAAGGCAGCAGCCCGTCGAGTGCGCCCACGTATATGGGCATCCAAGGCGCAAACGCGGGATTTGGCTCAGTGGGCAACTAACGCCAATCGTCGTGACTTGGCCCTGTCATACGTGGTGGCTCGGCACTTTTGTCTGCGGCACGCATCCGAGGTGCTTCCTTTGGGCTCGCCTTCGGCACTTTTCAGTTTCAACGGCGGAGGCACAGAGGCAGTTGTCACGTTCACCCGCAGAAAATGCTACAGCACGCCTGTCGAGGTAGTTCGCAAGTGTTTATGCGGGGACACGTGAAGTGATCTTTGTGGCGTGTGTGGCCTGCGCGAAGCTGCGCATGGTAATCCTCTGCCTTTCGCACGCATCACTTATGCGGAAGCTCTGGGATTTCTGAAAGCAGGTGCTGCGGCTATAGCTTTGCCCCAGAGTGAGCACTGGGGCACGCATGCGTTCCGGCGGGGTTTCGCCAACGACGCTCTCCAGGCAGGTGGTCTGTCAGCCCTCTTCTGGTCTGGAGGGTGGAAGGGCGCGGCCGCTTTCGGCTATGCCACTGCCCAATCTCGAGGGCAATTTGCAGCTGCGCACTGGCTCACCGAACACTCGGAATCGAGCGGCGACGAAGACGAGAGGGCGTCTTCGCATGCATTGGGCGCGGAAGCAAAAACAAATATCCCCCCATCGTCCGAGGCAACGTTCGCCCTGCGCTTGGCGGCTGTCCGCGTCGTTTCGGGCAGGGTAGCCATTTGGCCCAGACTGCATGCGTTGGGCCCTGGTGGATTTCCAGTCTGGGCCAACCTGGCGGCGCCAAATACTTCCGCTCGCCAATTGTTAGCGCGGAGGCGACGCCCAACTTCACGGTCGCATGGCCGAACGCAGAAGATTTTCATTGCCCCAAAATCGCGTAGCGGTTTGGGGGGCAGGAAAATCTTCAGGGAGGCCTGTGTAGGCTTCTTGGCTTCTGCGCCTCTGGGCTTCCTTCCTTCTCACAGCCTAGGCACCGCGGAGGTGCAGCGGAGCGGTATCTCACAGCCTTTCGCTGCAGCGCAGCAGGCGGATGCTCACGGCCGCACGCTGCATTGCAGCAGGTGGTTCTCGCGGCCGCGCGCGGCGTAGCGGCAGGCGGTTCCTCCTCCTTCTGCTGCCGTTGGTTGGTTGGTTGATTGGCGCGCCTTGGGCCGCGCTCCGCTGCGCCGTTCCTGGGCTGGCAGATGGCGGCGGCGTCGCCGTGAAGGCTGCGCGGGGGCCGGCGCCCACCGTCGTTCCCAGGCCGTGCGGTGCAAGCACGCCCATTGGGCTCGCATCCCACCCATTCCCGCCCTTGTGGCTGCGCGTTTGTTGGGCGGCGCCTTGGTCAGGTTGGGGCCCTGGTGGATTTCCAGTCTGGGCCAACCTGGCGGCGCCAAATATTTCCGCTCGCCAATTGTTAGCGCGGAGGCGACGCCCAACTTCACGGTCGCATGGCCGAACGCAGAAGATTTTCTTTGAAAATGCTCAATTTCTGCTTCCGGCGCCCGATTCCGACGCCCGGGCCGGCGCCCGAGCCGGCGCCCGGGCGGGACGCCCGAGCCGGCGCCCGGACCGGCGCCTGGGCCGGGTCCGGAGCCGGTTCCGGCCGGCGCCGGAAAATCGAGTTCCGAGGCGGCGCCAAAAAAAGACCATTCTAATACACATTTTTCTTTTGTGAATGCTCAATTTCTTCTTCCGGCGCTCGGGGCCTCCCGGGCCGATTCCGACGCCTGGGCTGGCGCCCGAGCCGGCGCCCAGGCCAGACGCCCGAGCCGGCGCCCGGGCCGGCGCCCGAGCCGGGTCTGGAGCCGGTTCCGGCCGGCGCCGGCGGAAAATAGAGTTCCGAGGCGGCGCCGAAAAAAGGCCATTCCAATACACATTTTTCTTTTGAAAATGCTCAATTTCTGCTTCTGGCGCCTGGGAAGCCGATTCTGGCGTGCTTCCGCTCGTCTCGACTCGTGCTCCCGCTGCAGCGCTGGCCTCATGTCCCGCGCCATGCCACGGCATGCAATGCAATGCTAGGTTGATATTATGCTTCACGGTGCTCTTCTACGCCACACCACGCCGTGCTCTACAATGCATCGCGTACCCTTTCGGGACCATTGCCCTGCTCGACATCCGACTGTGCGAGTAGAGAGGGGATCTGCGCCATGGTAAGGGATGGGAGGGAGGGGTAGGATGTCAGATATGACGCGAGCGCACCTAGCTTGTCCTCATCCCCCTCCCCCCGTCGGGAGGCAGGAACAGCCGGGCAGGCGGGCGATGGGGTGGGCGGGCGCCGCGACGGAAGGGGGCGGGGGCGGCGGGAGGCGAGGTGGAGCGGCAGCGGGGAAAGACGAGAGGCAGCAGCCCCAGCCCGTGAGCAGCGCGCCGCCGATGAAAGGGCAGCCAGCGGAGCGGGGGAGTTACGAATTGACACGATACTTCCAGCGCGCCCAGGGGTTGCGCGGCCCCTTGCGGTGAAGAGAGGACTGCTCAGCGACTGACGGCGTAGCGTCCCAGGCCCCAGGCCCGTTCCCGCATGACGTGCCCAGGTCCCACGGAGGGGGTCGACACGCGGGCGTAGGGAGTGTGCGTTCTGGGGCAGCCACTCAAAGTGGGCGACGTCGTCCGGGAGAAGAGCCGACGCGACATCATCTTGGGGGCACCAGCGCTGAGGAGGAGCGGCGCTGGGGGTGACGTCGGAGCGAAAACTTCTTGGGCCCTGACAAAGCGCGGAGTCGTAGTCTTCGTCGGGAGCGGCAGCTCTGGAGGCAGCGCCAATCGCTGCATAGGGAGACCTCTAGGAGCATCCCGCGGCAGCCCCAGCGTCGTCGTTGGGAGCACGCGGGTTCAGGGTCGCGGCCGCGAGTGGCCCGGCAAGGGGTGTGGGGCTGAAGAGGCCACCGACCAGAAGTAGCGATGGGCGCGCGTGCGAGGCGCGGCTGTGGCCCCTATCTGGCAATCAGCGGGGATGGGTTCCGTGTGCAATTGGCTCTGGAATTCGGACGGCTGAAGTCCCAGGAGTTGTTCTGGTATGGTCTGGGATGGTCAGGACGCAACAGTCACGTCGATTCGCGGTATTGAGACCAGGAATGGCGTTCTTGCAAGATTGCGGGTTCTCAGGACGCCATAGTCACGTTGGTTCGCGGCGTTGAGGTCCTAGGAATTGCGTCTCGGCACGGCTGAAGATTTTCATGGGTTTCTATTCATGGGCCATTCCCCGCAATGAAAACAAATTGTTGTAGGGACCTATGAAGAGGGAATTTGGAGGGAGGGTTTATTCCAACATTGTTGATCCGTCGTGGGTTTACACTGGTCCTCATCCTCCTTCTCCTCCGCCTCCTCTTCCGCGTCCTCTTCCTTCCCCACGCCTCTCGGTAGCACGTCCCCGCCCCCCCCCCCCCCCCACACACACACACACACACACACACACACACACACACACACACACACACACACACACACACACACACACACACACGGGCACACACACACACACGCATATACACACGCGCATATACGCTCTCTCTCTCTCTCTCTCTCTCTCTCTCTCTCTCTCTCTCTCACGCATATATATATACACACACAACCCACCATCCCCCTCCAGCTTCTGGCAGGAGGACGCGTTTGCCGCGCTGGAGGCGGATGGGCGGCAGGACCCGCGCTCACGGAAGGGCTGGAGGAAGGATCCAGGTTTCGTTTTCTATTCGTGTTCTTATTTCTTCCCCTCCTCCCCCTCCTCCCCTTCCTCTTCCTCTTCATCCTGTGTCTCTTCCTCGTCATCCTCTTCCGTTATCCTCCTTCTAGGCCTCCTCCTCATTCTTCTTCGTCTTTCCTCCTCCTCCTCCTCATCCTCCTCGTGCTCCTCATTATCATCATCCTCGGCATCAGCATCATCATCATCATCATCATCATCATCATCATCATCATCATCATCATCGTCATCATCACCATCACCATCACCATCACCATCATCGTGATCATTATCATCATCATCAGCAGCAGCATCATCATCAGCAGCATCGTCATCACTCATCATCATCATCATCATCATCATCATCATCATCAACATCATCATCATCATCATCATCGTCGTCATCATCGTCATCATCGTCATCGTCATCATTCCTCCTCCTCCTCCTCCTTCTCCTCACCCTTCCACCCGCTGCTTCCTCCTCCTAACTCCCTCCTCTCGCACGCGGTTGGAGCCCAGAGGCGAGCATCGCATACCGCTCGGCGACTGGACGGGTCGCGCCCGAGACAAGAGGATCCAGATGTTTGGGCGTTTCTGGGCTTCGTGAGGGGTATCCGCGACCACCCGAGACGTCCGAAGGATTGTTTGTTCAATCCAAGTGTTTGTTCGTCCGTTTCGTCCTCCATGGGCCATTTCGAACCCCAGGCTTTAGAATGGGTCGACGGAGGGTACCCACATGCACTTTACATGTAATTATTGTTTCTTATGTGAACCCATGAGCGTGAAATCTAAATGCAAGTCCGAGTGTAAGTGTGAGCGTTCCTCTGTGCTGTTCTCTGCCGCCATGTGCGGCTTTCTCTATGCCGCCGTGTGCTACCCCCTGGATCGCTCCCCATTGGTGTGCCCACTTGCTATGACTGCTTCATCGCGGTGAGCATGGGGCTCTGAAAGGAGAGATGTCGGGGGAGCCAAAACCAGGTTTCGTTCGAGACATCCCCACACACCGGGTGCGAACGGGCACGGCGATCGGCATCAGCATCATCATCATCATCACCATCATCATGATCATTATCATCATCATCAGCAGCATCACCATCATCAGCAGCATCGTCATCACTCATCATCATCATCATCATCAGCATCATCATCATCATCATCATCATCATCATCATCATCATCATCGTCGTCATCGTCATCGTCATCATTCCTCCTCCTCCTCCTCCTCCTCCTCCTCCTCCTCCTCCTTCTCCTCACCCTTCCACCCGCTGCTTCCTCCTCCTAACTCCCTCCTCTCGCACGCGGTTGGAGCCCAGAGGCGAGCATCGCATACCGCTCGGCGACTGGACGGGTCGCGCCCGAGACAAGAGGATCCAGATGTTTGGGCGTTTCTGGGCTTCGTGAGGGGTATCCGCGACCACCCGAGACGTCCGAAGGATTGTTTGTTCAATCCAAGTGTTTGTTCGTCCGTTTCGTCCTCCATGGGCCATTTCGACCCCCAGACTTTAGGATGGGTCGACGGAGGGTACCCACATGCACTTTACATGTAATTATTGTTTCTTATGTGAACCCATGAGCGTGAAATCTAAATGCAAGTCCGAGTGTAAGTGTGAGCGTTCCTCTGTGCTGTTCTCTGCCGCCATGTGCGGCTTTCTCTATGCCGCCGTGTGCTACCCCCTGGATCGCTCCCCATTGGTGTGCCCACTTGCCATGACTGCTTCATCGCGGTGAGCATGGGGCTCTGAAAGGAGAGATGTCGGGGGAGCCAAAACCAGGTTTCGCTCGAGACATCCCCACACACCGGGTGCGAACGGGCACGGCGAACGCCCCTTGCCTCGGGGTGCTCGCGTGCTTACGCTTCCCGCTGCGGGAGGCGGAGTGCGAGGGAGTCGTATCCTGCGCCACCGCGATGGCCACGGCTTGCCGGGTGGCGGCCCACCTCACTTGTGCTAAAGCTAGCGCCGCGCTCGAGGCATCCTCACGAACTGCTTCGGAGCGCGCGCCTCGCCTGAGACGTCCCCACATGCTGGGCGCGCACGGGCAAGTGCAACAACCCCCCATGGTAGCTCCATGCTGGGATGCTGCAGCACGCGCCTCGCTCGAGCCCTCCTCACACTCGATTCTGAAAAGGGGAGTCCTGAGCCGCCAGGCAAACGCATCGCTCGAGGCATGCCCGCAATCTGGGCGCGAGCAGGCGAACGTATCGCCCCCTGGCGGCCCCCTCCTTGGGGCGCTAGGACCAGCGCCTCGCCGCTCGAGGTACGCTCCCCGTCTGCCCTGAAAGGCGAGGGGTCGGAGTCGCCAAACGAGCGCATCGCCCGAGACTTCCCCACAATCCGGGCGCGAACGGGCGAGTGTGAAACCCTCTGGCGGCTCCCCTTCTGGGGTGCTCAAATGCTAGGCCTGCCACATGGCGGTGACTTATCAATGTGTGTGCGTGTGTGTGCGAGTTGAAGTGCGAGTGAGTCTGAGTGTTTGTCTGGGTGTGCGTGAACTGAGCGTGAGCGATTCTAGATATGAGTGGAGATGGGTTCGAGTGGTGGTTCGTGAGTCTGGTCGAGTCTGAGTTTGAGTGGGTATCAGTGTATGCGTATCAGTGTGAGTGAGTCTGAGTATGCATGACCTGAGTGGAAGTGAGCGGTCTGAGTATGAGTGCATACGAAGGCATGAGTCTGAGTGTGAATGGGGAGAGGGAGGAGGTCGGAGTTGGGGAGCAGGAGGCTGAGGCGTCACACATACGACAAGAAACCATTGCTTATGATATGGGGGAAATTGACCCAGATTGAAAAATGTCCTTGAAGAAGTTGTCGGGCGCTCCGGGACCGCGGACTGGAACAATATGTCGTCTGATGTTTGGGACGGATAGAATCCTTGCGAAACCCTGGCCAGAACGCACCCCAGGAGAGGCTTGCGAGTCAGAACTTTGAAGAAAGAGTACCAGACCCTGTGGTGACTCGGCAAAAATATCCTGGCGAAGGGCCCAAGAAGCTGGGAGCACAGCGAGGCAAGCGAGGAGGAGGGGGACGAGCAAAATGACCGACTGGCGAGCGTATCCTGGCGAACATCGCCGTTGCGGACCTCGGTTCTCTCTCGGCTCTCTCTCTCTCTCTCTCTCGCTCTCTCTCTCGCTCTCTCTCTCTCTCTCTCTCTCTCTGTTTCTCTCTCTCGCTTTCTCTCTCTCTCTCTCTCTCTCTCTCTATCCTTCTCCCTCGCTTTCTCTATTCCTCTGTTTTTTGTTCTCTCTCTCTCTCTCTCTCTCTCTCTCTGTATATATGTATCGCTTTCTCTCTCTCTCTCTCTCTATCCCTCTTTCTCTCTCCCTGTCTCTCCCTCTCTCTCTCTCTCTCTCTCTATATATATACATATATCTCTTCATATGTGTATATATATATGGAACCAAGAAACGCGTGCAGGAAGTGCAGCGTTGGGGGCGGGTGCGCCAGACGGGCCTTGGTAGTAGGGCCTTCGGTGGAGCTCTCTTCGGGGCAACGAAGCGCGATAGGCGTGCCGAATTGGGTGCGGGTGCGCATTGCGAGCCCTGCTGTTGGGGCGTTCGGTGGAGCTCCTTATGGGGCCGCGAAACGCGTGAGGGTTGTGCCGAAATAAGGTGGCGCCGCCATGCGGTGTTTGGCATTTGGGCCTTGGTTGGAGATCCCGATGGGGCCACGAAGCTTGTCAGTGGTGTGCCAGCATGAAGCGGCGCTGCCATGCGGCCTTTGACATGTGGGTTTTCGTTGGAGACTCTTATGGGGCCACGAAGCGTGTGAGGAGGTGCGAGTACGCTATGCGGACTTTGCAGCTGGGGCCTTCGGCGAAGCCCCCGATGGAACCACGAAACGTGTGGGGCGTGTGCGGGATCGGGTGCGGACACGCCGTGCGGACTTTGCCGCCGGGGCCTTCGGTGGAGCTCCTTATGGGGCCACAAGTTGTGTGAGGAGTGTGCTGGATCGGGTGCGGGTACGCCCTGCGGACTTTGCCATTGAGGCCTTCGACGGAGCTTCCTGTGTGGCCACGAAACGTGCGAACGGTGTGACGAATCGGGTGCAGGGACGCCGTGCGAACTTTGTCACTGAGGCCTGCAGCGCAGCTCCCAAAGGAACCACACAACGTGTGAACGGTGTGCTGGATCGGGTGCGGGCACGTCATGCGGACTTTGCCGCTGGGACTTTCGGCGGAGCTTCCTACGGGGCCGGATCGGGTGCGGGCACGCCATGACGCCTTTGCCCTTGAGGCCTTCGGCGGAGCTTCTTGTGCGACCACGAAAAGTGAGAACATGTGCCGAATCGGCGCGGTTACGCCATGCAGACTTTGCCATTGAGGCCTTCGTGAGGGGTGTGCCGAATCAGGTGCGAGCACGCCGTGCAGACTTTGCCACCGAGGCTTTCGGCGCAGCTCCCAATTGGGCCACGAAGCGTGCAAGGGGTGTGCTGAATCGGATGCGGGTACGCCGTGCGGACCCTGACGTTGGGGCCTTGGGTGGAGGTCCTGATGGGGCCACGAAACGTGTGAGGAGGGGGAGGGAGCAGCGGGAGGAGGTGAGACGCGGGGCGTTGCTTCTTCAAACCGAGGACCCAACACCACAGGACGGTTGGGAAAATCAGATCGTCGGAGTTCTAGGTACGGAGCAGTCGCTTGTTGAATGGATTTGTAACGAAAGCTGCTGTGGACGCCAGAGCGCGTTTTCGTTTCTCCCGCAGCATTTTCCGAAGCACCTGTGGTCATTGATCTGCTGGCGCTACAGATGTGCGCGAGTACAAAGGGCTTTTTCGAAAAGTGCCAGACACCAACCTAGCATGGCAAGTTGGCGGCGCGCACAAAAGGGTGGCGTAAGGGGGACGGCCCTCTAAGGAAGACCGCAGGGCAGACCATACAGGACCCCACAAACGAGAGCACAAGGGAGACGATACGGGAGGACATACGGGAGGCCATGCGGGAGATCACGGGCCACCAGTTCTGGATCCAGAG